AGAGAGAGAGAAAAGTACTAAACATTGCGGAACGCGCCGGGCCGGTCACGCCTCGCATTTTGACCTGAACCACAACGACAAAGCGGTTGATACGCAACGTAGATAGGCTGAAACGAACAAAGTCATTTTGTTTCGTCTCTGGAAAGATATGCCAATAATGGCAAAAAGGCGAGCAAAAATCATGTTATAACGTGCGACGCTCAACCCCAATAGATTGACCTACACAACGATGCATTATCAGCCCACGAGCCGTCGGTCGTTCTCGGCAACGACATGATCACTGCGCTTGGTACCATTCTTCCTTTCCAGCGTTTTGCTGAATCTTACACGCTACGTTGCGCTTCATAACCTTCCACATCCTCATGCCCCGATCCGCTCTAACCTTCCTACACCTTAAGGCTAACTATTATTTACATCCACGTTGCGGAATCGTCGACGCACGCCTCGCATTCGAACACAGCGCAGTCAGTCTAGTCCAGTCCGACAAACAGACAAACAAACACCCGCCATTCAGACAGACACATGCACACTTAAATGTAAAGACGAAATTAATGCAAATCAGCTTAAAGTTATACTGAGTTAAGTGTTCGTTATCTTTACAGTTTTTATCGACCCTCAGTATCATCATCATCATCCACATTATACTCGCATGAGACCGATTGACGGTGACCTGAGTCCTTTAGAAGAACAGTAGAAGAAGTCATATCAGTAGGAAGAATTAATGCTGTCGATAGTGAGCACTTGTATCCCTCTTGAAGAAGACGGTTTCGACAAATGGTACCAATGCCAAACGCAAAAGAAAAGAATTTAGAAAGGAAACCTTTGAAATGGCTTTTACAAAATTTTGTTGTTGCTGGCGCTGTTGCTGGCATCCTGGCGAGAAGCTTACGTGGTCTGACAGAAAAACGGTACTCTAAAAGACTAGTAAAGAACATGGCAAGGCGCAATGGGCATTTATGAACAGGCAAGTAGAAACCAAACAATGCACAAAATGGACCGTACATAAAGATATTGAAGAAAAACTTTCACAAACACTGTATGAGCGAGCTTTTCAGTTTCAGAGTATTTTCGTATGCTGAACACCAGCTAATGACAAATATTGTCGACCAATTGACAAAGAAACAATAAATATACAAAATATGCTTTGAGCTCATAATTATTCGGTTGCCTAAAACAAGTAAAACCAGGTGTCGGATGATTGAGTCCCGGCATCGCATTGTAAGATTACGACATATAATAATGTAATAATGAGTCATACTCCACGCATTATGTTGTCATGTATAGATGAAAATGATTCATATTCATCGATGGTATGCATATAAAATGTAACAAATACCATGGTTATTATTATTACGTATTGCTAAATTTATACACAACAAAGTATGTACACCGCTCCTGGCAACACGATACTCGATGTCTGATGATTGCTGAACATTGCCGCAGTCAACGAAACCGTTGATACTCGTCATATCATCCATAAAGCATCAAAAATGACCTCGGATCTCTGCAGTTTAACCTTTGAGCCAGTATTCGTGCCATCACTTGTCCAGATACCGGATGCAATTTACAATTTCGGACAATGGCGGCCGCAACAACAGCACCACCCAAAAAGGAATTTAGAGGATTCATTCTAGTTGCTTTCTAGGTAAAGCTCCAGTTAACGAGTCTCCTTTCGAAACAAAATTTGATAATTTTGTTGTCACTCATTTTCTGAGCTGGCGTCATGTTAGTCTATAATAACGTTTCCTACTGTTGTTCTATTCAAATAAGTAACCAAATAAAATATTGGTGAGCGTTTCCCTTTTTGCCTTCATATGAATATCGACCCGGACAACGCACGCAATGTTCAAGACCTAAAGAAACATAGACAATGCATTCCTCTGGCGCAAGTGGTTGTTCAACCATGTTACTTATCTCTCAGGGCAAACCTTAGTCAACATCTGCCGAACTAATTACATGTCCAGTCTACCCGTGATTCGAATTCATAGCGAGTAGTATTATCGAATCAAGCTTTCCAAAAGTACCTCATCACCCATTGAAACTTGCATTCTGTCTCAGGTCAACGCACGCACTTACCGCTCATACATACACAAGACGACTCCAACCGCATTCTGGTAGCCCTCTCGCTAGTTTCGTCTCTACTCATTCTCTATAGGCCGACTATAATTATGTATATATATATATATATGTATTTATGGATATATTCGCATATGCAATCCACTGAGCCGGGCCGCCGTTAAACTTTGGCGTACTCACAAGACCACAACAACACGCTTGTCGTCATATGACCATTATGCCTCTTATTCGCATCACATTACCCCACACCATTCTTATATCTTATTTCTTAGTGGGCCGAGTTCTGCTGCAGACATACTCTTTCACACAAAGCATCTGCCCACCGAGCCTCTAACTGTCCTCTATGTGTCCACTCTATCATGTTTTTATCTTCGTTATAATAATACATTACTTATCCTTACTTTAATAATAATATTAATAATATTCTTATGCTCATCATTTCACATCAGTGTTTTTGAAGTCGCTTCCTTCTTCGATCATCGTCAATGTCGTCGATCGTATCCATCATTTACGTTCATTCATTTTGCTATGTTTCCATATATCTTTATACTGCGTAATTATATATTTATTTCCTTTCTAATGATGTCTCAAGGCGGTGAAGGTTTTCTTTCTCTGTTTATTTTTTTCCTGTTTTGGCCCTCTTCTTCCCTCCCTCAAAGTTTTGTCGTCATCGATTAAGCCACGAACTCTTGGTTTAAATGTACTCCTAAATGTAGTATCCAAGATCCGATTATATTTGATCGCTACCTATCACTCGTCCGGTCCGTAAATATGTCGCCATAATAACATTATTATAGTACTCGTGAAACGCCACGTACTGAAGCCGGTCCAGCCGCGTACTCAGGCGCCGCTCATGTACATTAATTGTACATGCATGGATCGGGTCGAATCAAGCTGGGTTGGCCTTCACATCAACTTCGAAAAGAAGCAGGAAGTGGACCGATATGATGATGTCCTTTTTCTTTCGCTTCAACCGGTAACACAGCGTAGGGTATACATGTGAAAAGGAGAGCCGCGAACTCCCTTCGATAATATGCAATGACCCTAAGCAACTCTTTTTTTGTGATTAGCTATATGGTAATTGGTCTTCAGTTTTCATGATTTGTTTTATCTCTCAGCAGAGCCTTTACTTGTTGTCACTGTTGTTCTTGCTGTTGAATAAGTGCTGCTGCTGCTGCTGCCATTACTACCACTACAACTACTACCCGACCTTATTCCCAACAACAAGAGCCAACGTTTGCAAACCAATGCAAGCTGTATATTATTATTATTACTAGTATCGAACAATGGCTGCTGAACGGGCAGACGGAAGTAAGCTTATGGGAAGAGGCAATGCATGTGGCCAAGGCAAATTAAACGGCTAGGGGAAAGGGTGGGAAAAGGAGGGCGAGAAGCTAACGCCAGTTGTTGCTATTGTGATGTCGTTGTTGGTCAGGGAGTTATTCATCATCAACTTCAAAGTTCTAGAGAAGAAATCCGCCATTGCCGCGCTGAAGCACAGCTACAATGGAATCTTTCAATTTCATATTTTCAATTATATATATATATATATAGTAATTATTATATATATAGAGAGGTGTTATGTATGTATAGATGTATATACATGTCTCTTCAGTCTTTCTACGATGCTTGCTTTTATATTCATCATCATGATCTACATCAGCATCTTTTTATGTCTATCAATTATCTATATCTCGTTTAGAGGGTGGGCGATGTAGTTCCCGTTGTTGTTGTTGATTTATTACCAAAAAATGGCCTACCAATGCAACACCATAAGCTTGCAGGTAGTAAAAGTTAGTACAGTATTATTATTGTTATTATTAATATAATAAAGTAAAAAAAGGAGTGCCCTAAAATAAAATCAATCACTAAATAAACGCTGTGTCATCATCATTATGCCTACTGCAATCGACATGCACAGTCGTTGACTGGTTAAACAGGCGGCCTGTCAATCAGTCTTTCAATAGTCAATCGTCGTTGAATCAATCAGTCAATCGTCACGCAATCAATCAGTCAGTCCGTCCATCCATCTGTCTGTATGTCCGTCCGTTTTTTCGTCAATCATCGTCATCACAATCATAGTATCATCGTATTCACATCCGCCTCAAGCTTCCTTCCTCGATCAATTAAACAAGTAACCCGTTAATCAGATATTAATTAGTGAATTAATGGACGGCGACCGAACCGCCAGCAGCTGAATCACGATTGCTATTCAGTCAATCAGTTGGTCATCAGCCACCTATCAATTAATCAGTCAATCAATTATTTTCAAAAATCAATTACTGAGCACATCGAGAAAGTTCGTCGAGTTGTTTAGTTGGTTAGCTAACTAGCTAATCGATCGATCGCTGCCGATGCCACCATCCATCGGCGCCGTCAATCATTTGTTTTTAATACCCTTACACTTTTTGTTTTACTTCCATTAGTGTTCTTATTATTAAATCGAGGCCATAAGTTTCAACCCATTCTCTTTTTTTTAAGAATATGTTGGTGTTTGCTTCTGTTTGTCGTTTCGCATTATTCCGTCCTCATCGTTATTATTGTTGTAATTAATAAATTCATATGTTATTATTTTTTATAGTGGTTTGTCTGTGTTTGTTGTCGCATGTGCAACCGCGCTGAAGTTGTATTTATATAGCTTTGTTTT